GGGCTATTTTCGGCCCTCTGGCCATCTGGACCCTTCGGTTGGAGATGGCCTAACATAATTTGGCAAAAGTCACATTCAATCCTCCACAAGAAGTTTTGAACTTTCACACTAAGAACTATATTCGCCAGAAAGGTGGGACCACGCGTATAGACGAAATCAATTGGAATACATTGAGCCTTTTTTCGTGTGTTGCACAGACATGTAGCCCTAATTTGGTATTGAGATAATTCGGAAAAAAATGGTTATTAAAAAAATTGTTTTTTTTTTATGTTTGAAACATTCAGCTTCAGTTTTTTTTTCTTCATAATTTTGGATAATAAAAAAAATCAAAAACACAAAGTTGCAAAACTCAGCTTTGAAAAACTAGTTTTTTTTCACATTTGTTTTACATAAAAGTTTATCAAATACTATAATACTGCTTTTTTTTTTTTCCAAAAACATTTTTACAAAAAAGTTTACCAAACACTCTGCTACTTTATTTCACAGCTGCTTATTCTCACAGCACAGCAGAAGCAGTTTTTTTTTAAAATACCGCAATACCAAACCAGCCCGTAGTATGACGAACGGAACCTTAGAACTTTTTTCCTTGTTTTGAAAAAAAAAAAAAAAAGGTATATGTATTTTAAATTTAGCTAATTTTATAATTTTGTTGTCCGACGTCAATAGATTTCAATCCAAAACACAGTGATCAAGAAGGTTTTAACTATTGATGTAAAGGGTTTTGAAGCATGGCAAGATTCAGTACTTTATATTTACCTATCCAAATATGCATGATTTAAAGACTTAGGGCATGTTTACGTATCCGTAATCATAATAAAAATGTAGAATTGAATTTTGATTACAAATTACTCCGATGTTTATTAAACATGATGGAATAAAAAAAGCAGTGGGGCCCACACAAATTTTGGAATTCAATTCCTTGTATTGGTGGAATTGGATTCCCTAGATGTATGTTAGTAATCTAATTCATGATTGCTTGGGCAATCGGAATGACACTTTTGTTCCCTTTGTGCCCTCACTTACTTTTTTATTTCCAATACTATCTTTATAAACCCATTAACCCTAGTTTAATTATGCACAACTTCTTACTTTTTTTATTTTCATGCTCATTCACATTATGCACAACTCCATGCATATGCCGAAGAGAAGAAACTACAACTTGAGCTAGAAAATTTAAATATTAAAGTAAATACTTAAATTTATAAAAAAAAAATAAAAACAAAAGCATTTTAGTGTGTCTATGAAATAAAAAAGCAATTTAATTTTTTTTTCTTACTATTATATATTACATCAAATTTTATTTTTAAAAAAGTACAAAAAATATTTGATTTGGGACAAGGGCATTTTAGTAATCATACTAGTTTATATTCTAATTCTGCTGAATTAGTAAACAGCTTTATAGAATTCTATTCCGAATCCAGAACATTTAAGTAAACAGCTTCAACAAGAATCCGATTCTGACTTCTCCTCGTTCCAACTCCTTCTCAATTCAATTCCTCCTCAATTCATTCCTCCTATTTTCATTACGATTACATAAACGCGCCATTAATGTTTTCATACATATTTCGCATTTTTTGCCAATTAAGCTTGGCACGTAGTTGTAGACTCGAAGTGGTTTACCAGCTTTTTTTTTTTTAGTAGACAACTGGTGGCAAGTTACGGTTATCCATTTTTTTTGAAAATTGGAAAGATGCACAGAGACATTTGAGACTCTACCTGACCACAAGTTTAGCTTCCATAAGTCTAGATTACAAGCTTGTTGGGTTCAGTCCTTGGATTTGCAGCAATCAAACTAAGCATTTGAAAGATTTTACTTTCGACAAAAAAAAAAAAAAAAAAAAAAAAAAAGGATTTTACAAATTCTCCAACAACCCGATGCACTAACTCAAGTGGGTGAGAGAAAGAGATTTCTTTTTACAACGTCAAGGGGAATGAATTTACTTTACACTTTACCTAAATCATCCTCCACTCTTTTAACTTCAAATATAATTTTTGCAATGAAAAAGGGTAAAACGATTATGATATGTGAATATTCAACTATAAATTAATTCTTTAAGCACTTATGCTAAAGTTTGATTATTGAATATGAGATACTCTCATCATCCCTCTTAATATGTGGTTTCGAGAGTGACATTGGAGCACATGTAGCAATTTGGCCGGCCACATACATAACATACTCTTATGTGCTGTTAGAATGAGCATTGAACTCAAAGTAAAGTGACAATGGTTGTAGATGTATCGGAGATTTTAAACACAAAAGGCTTCCACATCTAATATGAGATACTCTTAATATATCATTTCACTTGTGTCGTCTTTTAAACCTAACACACTTGTTCAATATTATCAGTTGATGTCGAAGCACGTATTTTTTATCCAACCTAACACTCCATTTAGTATGAATTTACGATGTTATTGTTAGTTAGAAATAATATAAATGTGTCTATCAAAAAAAGAAGAAAATGAATGCTAGTTTGAAGAAGTTGAGATTCCACTATAAAACTAATTGACAATATTGGTAGTTGTCCAACTCCTTATAAACTCTTGTTAGGTTTATCTTTCTACTAATGTGAGACTTTTTTACCTTCACATCATCACGCACCCTCTCACGTGTGTCGAATTTTCAGGCCAAATACGTGAACAACACGAATTTGATGATGTAAGATATGCGTGACCGTTGAGGTTCACATGTGAATCAACATGCTTTGATATCACGAAGAAATTGAGATCGTAACATTATTATTTTTGTTTAATCATGACAGCTCCCAAAGAAAATGCGTGATTAGTGGGTGTCCAGAAAGTCATTGGCATTCTTAAACTAGAAGCCAAAGACGGTAAAGTGGCATATCCCTGTAAATAATCCAAAAACAAGTGGCATTTCCTCTCCAACGGTCAGTTATAACGCCAAACCACTCCACAAACCCAGTTCCTCTAAAAAAGTTCAGATTTTAGACAAAAACCCAAAAAAGAAAATGGGAAGCTCAAGCTCAAGAACTCCATCACTCTTTGGCTGCATCTTAATCTGTGCAATCCTGGCCGCCCATTTGGTAGCGATTGCTTCGGCCGTTGATTTCAGCGGCGGCCACCAGCTGGGCGAGTTGAGCTGGGGTTCGATTAGATCGGCGGCGGGGGGACTGATAGCTGACGAGGACGAGGAAGCGGAGATGCTGATGGACTCGGAGATCAACCGGCGCATCTTAGCCTGGAGGAGGAGGTACATTAGCTACGGTGCGCTGAGGAGGAACACTGTACCCTGCTCGCGACGTGGCGCGTCCTACTACAACTGCCGACCCGGGGCTCAGGCAAATCCCTACCGTCGCGGCTGTAGCGCCATTACTCGCTGCAGGCGCTAATTTCAATTTTTATTTTTTTAAATTTAATTTCCACCTCCTTTTTTATTATAAAAATTATATTGTTTACGGTCTAGTGAGTGATTGTGTGTTATATACCTGATAAGATTTTAATCCATGTTGTAATATTGTTGCTCTTCCATTTTTGTATTTTTTATTTATGATTATTTGTGATGAAAATTAGAGAAAATAATAATAATATTATTATTATTTGTGATAAAAATCCAGATTCCAGAAAACGTGCAAGTGGGTTGTAAAGGGTACTTTGTGGGGCGCGTGTGCGTGTGATCTGTATCCTTGCAGTGTACAACTGTCTTGCGATAGTGCAAACAAGAACATACAACATGATTGGATTTTAAAGCAAATGAAATTTAGATGCAAAATTTCAATTTCGGCTGCGGCTTTTTTGTGGGATATTTTTATGTGTTACGGGATGTGAGAGATATGTACATATATGATTATATATAGTTATGTACGACTGGTTAGACCGTGGTAGAGTAGATTTTCTCTTCTTTAGTGGGGTGGTAGCCTATGGGAGTGAAATTATGAGAAACTAACAAATTTGGGTGGATATTAATGTACAGGTCGATACTTTGTTTGCAGAAGAAATGTTGCTATGAAAAGTAATACAACCCTCACCGAAAAATAAATTTATTTGTTCATACCAGACTTCATTTATGGCTCGTTTGGATATACTTTTAAAATGTCTGAAAACGCTATTGGTTAAATTGATTTTGAGTTCCAAAAGCACTTTAAGTGATTTTTGGAAGAAGCACCAGATATGTGATTCTTGCAGGAAACACTTAAAGTGTTTTTTTAGGATCTACCTGGATTTTTACTAAGGATTGATATAAAAAACATTTTTGCTAAAAACGTTTTTAATCATTTTACAAGTGCATCCAAATGAGCCCTTATTCATATAGTTAGTTATCAAGAGAACAAAAACAAATAAATAATTAGTTATAAACAATTGTTATCATCACCCTAAAATAAACATCTCACAATGTTGAGTATCAATAACAGCTCTTTTATATACCCTTTTATATACCAAATATTGAAACTAGTACAAACACATGGAATGTGCGGCTTCAATGCGACGCAGCACTAATTGATGTTTTAGCTATTAAATTTGACTTTCACAACAGTTAGATATCATATTTTCAATATTAATCGTTCATTATCCATCCAATCCAACGCACTGATGAAGAAAAATTGTGTCACGTAATAAAAACAGAAATTGTTATTGTCAAAGCGTTATTCGTATGGTGCTGGGGTTTGCCAAGGGTCACAAATCCAGCGCATTCTAATTGGCATTTTAATATGATGGATGGATGGATGGATGGATGGATGGATGGAAAGTGATAATATAATGGAGGATGGGAATCTCAGCGTCAATTGCCGTCCACATGCACTTGCGGAAGGTCCAAGACTCCAAATCGGTGGATGTGAGAGCACGAAATTGAATTATGGGTTTCTTTTAAACCTTTTTGTGACATACAACACAATCAAATCAAATCAACACCTCATATGTCTTTGTCGCATTAGCCTTCCATAAACCACCAAAACCATCCATCAACATTTGGGAATCTGGCAGGACCACAACATGATATTACGTTATGGTGGAAAGGTAAAAACATGAGATTACATTATTCGTTTGGAATACCAACAAATACTACCCCAGTAACGTACCAAATTTAGACAAGTACGAAGTTATGTGATACAGAAGAAGATGCCTATCAATAATATTATTACAGGGAAATGAGGTTCGAATGTCTGGCTCCTTGGAGAAGAGATGTACCATTAGATTAAGAGCTAGTTGAACGATAAACCCTTAAAATTAGACTCAGCGCCCCTCGTGCCAAGGTTTTCAATGATAAAGGGCATCACACCAGTAAGACACATCATGAAAATATAAGCGAGGAAATGAGAATCAAAACGGCTTCCTACATTGCTGTCAGAAAATGAGAATCAAATTTGGCCTTGCTTACAAATCCATGGAGTATAGATCTGCTCCGAGAGATCTTCTATATGGTATGATTTGGATCCAAATGGAACAGCCAAACGAACGCTCAAAATCAGGCAGTAAACACACCCTATCGATTAAAGCAACACAACATGACATAGTTACTCCTTGCCTGAATCATCAGCTGACTTGGGCTCTATTTTTTGCTTCAACGAGGCTGAAGGAGATGGTGATCCTTCCACTCCCATCTCAGTTCTGAGGTCATTGATGCTCTGCTCCAACTCGTCGATCCTGCTGCCCATCTCATCAAGTGCATCAAGGTCAACGAAACAAAAAACCAATTTAATCCAAACCAATGTGATCTATTTAGTTTTTGTATTTATAATCACAATAACAATAATACTGGTTCCATATATCTCATCGCAGTCAATGTTCGAAAGAAATTACAAGTCCCGCGCAAAGAATAATTCAAATGTGATCAAGAAAGATATAGGTCAAACAAACATGGTTCCCACAACAATCAAAAGAAAATATATAACCTTATTAATCAAGTATAAATATGACAGGTATCACCAATCACAGAGTCCACCAACTGAAGAATTTGACAGAGAAAAAAAAAGAAAGATGATTGGATTAATCATAATCTATAACATTCCTCAAGATTCTTATGTAATTTTCTCATACGCTGCCAAGCAAGCAGAACAGAAATCTAGGACAGCCAAATGGACCAAATTCAAATGCTACCCACTTAATAATTTTGCTCTCTAATATCATATAACAAAACTAGTATAAAATAATTCATAAAACCAGTGTACAATAATATAATGATCAATTTGCAATTAGCAAGCAAAACAATAAGGATATTCTTTGTAATGATGGAGTCGGACATTGTCTGGAACCTGGATTGCTGCAAAACTCAAAAACATAAGTCACACAGTCCATTGAACTTCATTTCAATTACAAAACCTCACAAAATGTATAGCAAACTCACCATCTGTTGAAGAAGATTTTGGACCTGAAAAAACCAAATAATAGCGTATAAAACTCACCATCTGGTGATATTTCGATTGCTGTATAAAATTCAGCTATGAAACTAACACGCAAACAGAGTGACAATATTATGTAAACATATGGGAACTACCACGTGTACATGGTAAACACCAATAATTGCGAAACCAAAAAAAAATGCCTGCCTCTTAACATGGTATTATGGTTTTGTGAATAGTGGCAAAAACAACAAATCATCATATTAAACAACTGCTAATCTCTTCATCGTTCAGTTTTAAATAATGTCCATCATCATTGAAAGGTTAGGATACCCAATGCTTAAAGCCGCATACTCATCAGCTTCAGCATGCCCACTACTCATCCATACGGCCACATAGAAGTAGTGCAAATTAATTTTAACATATAAAGTGAAAAAACTAGAACCGGAACTCACAAAAGCTGTCATGTCAGCAGTGCTTTGCTTTGGATCATCTGTATCATCCTGCCAAAAATAAATAGATAAGCTGCTTCACCAAAGTGTCATCAATAGTATAACTATTAGTACATACAATGGTGCTGGATCAGACGAAATACATAGCAAGTTCATATGAAAGGAATTTTAACAGTACGAAACCATTTTCAGTTGATAAATGTGAAGTGACTGTAGTTTAACTGACTTCTATTTTTACCCCCAAAGGCTACAAAGGGCTGCAGAGTATGGACTCTTTCACCCAACTGGACATGTCACTGACATGTAAGCCTAGATCTTGCACCAAACACTCGGTTCACATTAACATATCGTACATTTTATTTTTATCTCATCCAACAAGTTTACGAATGTGCCCTTGATATCTCATGTACCGAAAGGAAGATGAACTTCACTCAACCTTTGTATAAGATTCCGAAATTCACCAAAGACAAACTTGTTCCAGAAACTCCAAACTCTAACAAATAATATTGAAACTTTTGCCAACAGGCATATCAATGCAATTGTCTGTAACCATAATATGGTAAAAGTACTTGTTTCACGGTTCTCTAATCTTTATATGTCAAGCTTCCACAAAGAACATGCATTACTTTCCCCATACACTATTATGCACACGTTTGTGAATTCTGTATCGACATTGGACACTTTCAGGATGATAATCACGTATGTCACACCATCACCATTGCAGGGTAATCCAGCCTTTACCTGATTCTCCTTACTAAAGTAGTAGAAGACACTACTGAGCTTCTCTCATTACCTGAACCCCCACTTAATAAGTGCTCCACTAGTTACAATTCAATGAGTACCCGACAATGACAAGCTACCAAATTTACTGCAACTCGTAATATCACACCATCAAGGAATTCCAAATTTATTTGAGTCTGATGAACTTTAGTTAGCAGCTGTAAGTACTCAAATTCCATCACAACAAGTATAAACATGCTACCGAAAAGCAAGTGCTCAAATTCCATCACAACAACTATCACATCAGAACTACTTGCCATACGAATTGAATTTCCAAATTACAATTTCAGAAACAATGCAAATGTTTTCAAACACACACCAATTTTCTCAGCAACCAAACAGAACGCTAAATACAAAACGAAAATGACTCGAAAAATCGACAGAATTCAAACTTTCAAAGCAGCCAAACAGCACGAGATTAGTAAAATTGTAATATACGGCATAAAATAACAGATCGGGAACCATTATCAACGGATTTACAGGTGAAAGTGAGTGAAATTTTCGAAACCCTAATGAAATCAGTGTAAATGCGTTGACAAGTAAAAGGGAAATTACCATGTTGGAAGTCTCTGTGGGAAGGTTTTGGAGACGCTCGGTTGTGCAGTGTAGTGAGTACAGAGAGCGGAGAAAGGCGTATACGTAGTATTTGGTTGGAAGAAGAGGGGAATTGGTATAAACGCTATTACCAATTTGTCCTTATTACATTTTGGAATTTTTTATATTTTTTTAACAAATGAGATTATCTATAATATGAAGAAAGAGTGAGCTTAACATTACAATGGACTAACAATAATGTGATTCAAATTTGTCTTTCGGCGAGAAGCGAACCTAAGACATCTTACAAGTAAAGATGAAGATCATTAAATCGTAATATTAAATGACTATTGCTTATTGGAATGAAATTATCTTCTTTTTTACTTAACCTGGACGAATTTTTCTCTCTTGCCCTTATATTCAGTTTTTTTTCTTTTCTTATACAAATGATGTATTTTACTTGCACATCTTATTGATTCTTCTCAAAATGGTACTTTGCGGTGCTTCATGAACAAGGGAAGCACATGTCAAGTACTTTCTTCTAAAAAAACATTACTATGACCTAGAGGTGCTTTTTAAATTCTTTTACCAAATGTTGTCAAAAGCCCTTATGATTGCTAAATAAAATTTTCAACTTCCTTTTATAGAGTTTGTCATGTGGAGAGTAATTTGTATGGTACGATGTGCTACTACCGCACATTTTGTGCAAATTATACAAGGACACATGAAGAGAAACCAACACATGTCTTTCTATTTTTAGTATGTAACACCACCCTGAAGGTATATCCGTGTCATATAAGTCATTCTTGTCAAAATGATACTTAGAGAGTAGAAATTGAAGACAAACATTCTTGTCACCGGAATAAATTTTATTGAGCACTTGAACTGTGTAAGTCTCTTCCATATTTTTTAATGGTTAATTTGCCAAGAAGAGAGGAAAGCAATTTCGCATACCAAGCCACATTCTAGGGAAAAGAAAAAAAACCCAAAATGTGCTTCATTAACGTTCATTTCTTTTGGGCCCGATAGTATCATCCTTTAAACCTTGCGTCTTTTTGGAAACATCATATGATAGGGATGGCAACGGTTTGGTTTGGAGATAGAAATGTTATAATCATTTCCATAATCATGAAAATTAATCATATTCATAACTGCAAATTAACCATCGGGGATTATCCATAACCATATTTACCGGGTAACGGATTTTTAATCGGTTATCGGTTATATCCATCTTCGTCAGCAAAAAAAAAATTTACATTCATTCAATTGACGCACTATAAATTTTAGTAGATACTAATTCCGTCATTAAATAGCAACATTCAATTACAAAAAACATAACAATATATTTGAAGTTGTTCATGATAAGCCAATATGATAAATTGGTCCAATAAAAAAGAAAAAGAGGACAAAAGCAAAGACGAAAGGAAGACAAAACTTGTGACGACAAAAGAACGAGATATTTGCACTTCACTTCTAGTTCCACCAAGCCAGCATCATATTTTATGGTGCTTCTCCTTCACACCCATCAATGGAGCATGATTCCTACATTATTAAGCAAATGATGAAATAATTAATATGAATCGTTGTACACATATAATCTACAAAGAAGATAGTTATATACATATAATATAATTGCCAATACTTACCTCATCCATATCCATATCTTCAAAATAAGTGCAGCAACCGACGTGGCATTAGAACAAGAATAGCTAGTTGTGAAACATAAATACTTATAGTTCTAAAACTGAATGCATACTAATTGATTAAGTTTGAAAAATAAGTTCGAAATTAAGATTAAAGAACATGCACAAATATAAGATGAAAATAAATTAATACTTTGGGGTACCTGGAATTTCTTTCCATAACCAATTTTGGGCGCACATTAAGGCTTCCAATGTCTTTGGATGAAGTCTACTACGATGTGGACTTACAAATCTCCCACTAGTAATCAAAGCTGATTCGGAAGCAACTGTAGATACAAGAATAACTAATATATCCCTTGCCAAAGCACTTAAGATAGGATATTTAGTCCCATTTGATTTCCACCAACCCAAAATATCAAAATAAGATGTTCTAGGCAAAACAGCCTTATCCAAATAGTGATCTATTTATGACTTTACATTATCAGTACTTACAGTACTAGAAACGAACAAGTCAAAGTTATCCGTTAAATGATTCATCTCTTCAAAGTCAGATTGATTCAATTGAGATGAAGTGGATCATGGTTGATGACCCATGTTAGAGATATGATTAGATCCACACTCTTTTACCAAATCATAATAATATTTGCGAATCTTATCAATTTCATTCGAAGCATATTGCCCATACATAAGGGGAAAGAAATACTCAATCAGCATCATCTTGAATCTTGGATCCAATACAGTAGCTACAACCATTATTCCATGAATCATACTCCAATATTTATCAAATTTCTCAATCATACTTCTTGCCATAATTTTTATTTCATCACGTCTAGAGGTAAGCCACCGGGTTAGCGACAACATGATTTCACAAATCTTTGGAAAATAAAGATTGAATGCAGGGTACTTAGTTCCAGAAAACAACTCAGAGACATTATAAAACAACTTTAACTTCTCACAAATCTCTCTTGCCATCTCCCAATCTCTATCATTCGGCAAACACTTAGATTGCAACTCTTGTTGTTTCAAATGAGGGAAAACATCCTTGTAAATCAAAGCAGAATCATTAAAAAAGTGGAATTCCACTGACGTGCTGCTTCCTCAAACTTTTCCTCTTTTTTGTGTGTTGATGTCCAGTAAACAACACTATCATGAATTCTCTCAACACCACCACCAATCATTTCCAGACCATCCTTCACAATCAAGTTTAATATATGCGCACAACAACGCATGTGAAAGAACCCTCCACCTAACAAAAGTGAACTACTAGAAAGTTTTTCAAGAATAAGATCAATCATTTTATCATTTGTAGTGCAATTATCTACGGTTAGAAAGCTTACGATTGAGGTTCCAATCTAGCAAGCCCTCCATCAAAACATCTGAAAGTGTCTCGACGATATGCAGACAAGGCACATAAATAAATCTGAAAAAAAAAATTACGAAGAAGATGGTTACAATAAAGAATCTGAAATATAAATCTAAAGCTGGACAATAATTAAATAGAAATTAAAGTATTAAAAATATCATCTTATTATTTGGCTCTGCAACATCCAAGAGTCATCAATAAAATGTGCCGTTATTACCATAAATCATCTGTCCTAATTACTTGCAGTCCACATATCAGTAGTTATGACAATTCTACTCTTATTTTCATCCAACAATTGCATTGTTTTCGAACGCTCATAATCATATATTTTTAGGATATCACTCTTGATTGTGTTTCTTGAAACAACCTTGAACAATGGTTGGACATCACTCATGAAGTTTCTAAATCCAACATGCTCAACCATGAAAAGATGGTATTCATGCACTATTATCATTTGGGCAAGAGCTCTCCTTGCACTTTCTTGATCAAATGTATACAACTCTACTTTCCCATCTCCCACTTTTTGGGTTAGCGTTTGCTTCAAATTTTTTTGTCTCCGACAATGATATATCGTCACATGATGCGTCAAATGGCTAGTTCCATTTCCAGTGTTCCCACCAAGCTTCTTGTTACAATAATTACATATTGCTTTCATCACCCCCATCAACTACTGTTCTCGTTTAATGTTGCCACACCAAATTGCGAAGTCTCAAATTATTACCTTCACCATCATCACCTCTAGGTTCCTCGATCTCACCAACGACCTCATTTGGAGTTGGTATATCTTGGGGCCGAGCAATTTGATTTGGTATTTCTTGTTGCACAACACTTGGATTCAATGTAGGTGCTAGCTTACAAACAGTTGGGGTAGATATTGTTTCTTCTTGAGACTTAAATTTTCTTTTAGACATTTTGATTGTTGCGAACACAACCAAATCCATTAATATGTAAACAAAGACATGGTATAATACTGAAACTGAATCAATTAACATGTAAACTAAATATATAACAACAAACAAGAAGACAATTATTGTTTTAATTTTTCATAATTCTATGGGCTTGTAACATATGTAATAAACTAGAAAACTGATGCGAATTGAGAATTTGCATGAATCAAATAACATGAAAAAGAATGAAAGAGTACCTATTGAGCTGACAACATGCACCAATTTCTTGACAGTGAGACTCTTGCATAGAGATGTATCTGATAAATTTGGAACATTTGATAATTGATGTATAAAATGATTCAATGAATTAATTTGGTTGAGTATAATAATAAGAGTATTGAATTGGTGAGGTTGTTGGTATGCCCCATGCATGATGTTTGGTGCATAATAAAGATAGTATAGGATTTGATGCATGCATAATGAATTAGTATAGGGAGGGTTCGGTAAATTGAATAAAATTATATTATATATGAAATATATATAATATTCGGGTCGGATTCGGGAACAGATACAGATTGGGGACCCCTATAACCATATCCAAAATCATAACCGAATAAAGTTCACGGTTTTTCCCCTTATCCATACCATACCCGAATTTTCATATCCAAATCCAATTCATTTAGACAGTTATCCACGATTATCAGGTTTAACGGTTATAATTGTCATCCCTAATCCCATCCCATTCTTCCCCATAATTTTCTTGCCATCCATGGCTTCCAATCCCCTCCTCCACCGCCGATTCAACAATGTCCAATCCATCCCCACCAAACCCACCACCATCACCACCAAACAAGACACCAAAAACTCCAAAGCCAAAAGAGCTCTTCGATCTCTATCCATCGGGATTGCAATCCCCATCTCTTTAACCACAATCACAATTCTCCTGGTTTGCTCAAGCTCCAAGTACAAGGCCTTGGCCAAACCCTTTTGGCTTCCACAACTTAGGCCATTTCCAACCAAGAGCTAAATGTAATCAGGTCCAGAATTATACTGTAATACCCTGAAAATTTAAAATATATGAATATGTGGAGTAAATCGAGAATAAATAGATTTATGATTATGAAATTCGAATGGGAAAACGTGAAATCCCGCTTCCGTATTTCATTATTATTTATGTCGTATAATTTTTTGTTAAGTAGAAAATGATGAAATTGCCTTATTGTATTAAACGGATTTCCTCGCGGACGTATTTGATCCTTTCA